TCGGAAGCTCCCGCCGCTCAGCTAGGGGAAAATGCCGGGTAGGGCTTTGCGAGGACCGCGGGGGAGGGCTGCTCCCAGAGCCACAGCTGATGGGTGGGCCTTCGGGCTGCTCCTGGAGAAGCGCTTCCCCGCGAGCAGCCCAAAGGATCGCTTTTTGGAACAGCTGACGGGCGGGCCTTCGGGCTGCTCCCGGAGAAGCGCTTGTCCAGCAGCAGCCCAAGGGCTCACTGTTTGGAACAGCTGACACCTACATAAATTCAACTAAAATCCTATTTAGTTCTCAAACATGGTACAGCAACAGAAAAGGGCAAGAAGGGCAGCATGTTTATCATAATTTCATAAACGGCAACTACGGGGAAATCCAAGTATTAGAACCATTTTAAAGGTTCTTCCTCTATTAAATAGATACCAGATTGAGGAAAGAAAAGCTACGAACTCTGCTCAAATAAATTACAGCAAACTTATTTACAGAATGGTAAACTTAGGGATGGCATGCCTCATATACCAATTTGATATAGGAGCATGATTTGACCCATAGTAAAACAATACCTTGGTAGTTATAGCTGCCATCTGAGATGTGCTTTTAGAAACCGACCCAGGAGATCCTGGTGACCCAGGAGATCCTGGTGACCCAGGAGACCCAGGCAAATTACTTGCAGATGATTGGCTGGTGAGGTTAGTCTTTGTACTACTAGAGAAGGAAAGTTTAAAACTTGGGCTCTGGCGACCAGAAATATTGGTTTTCAGAAGGACCTCCTTTTCTTCACTTTCTTTAACTGAAATTTAAAACAAATACCATTGTAATAACATTCTACTGTGAAATGCAACACATTTGGGACAAGAAAAGCAAACCCGAATCCTTTTTCAGCACTATGGGGGTGGAGGTAGGGGAGACAAAGGCAGGATACCAGTATAGTAAGTACAACTGAGTAGACTTTTGTTATTTCCTTGTTTACTACAGCAACTTTTATTACTGCTGTCTTTAAAAAAATTAGGGAGTCATTTACACTGCCTTTAGCTGTGCCAGACCAAATCTATGCCTGTTACTTGTGAAAAGGCCTTTTCAGTTACAGTCAATTTGTTTGAGCCACCAAATTCCAGATCTGCTAAGTATTTTTTATGATGCTACAAGTTTCACACCACTGAAATTGCTACATTGCTTTCTTGGTTTTCAGTATTATATTAATACTGTACTTTGCAAGCCACTCAGAGAACACTTTTTGGGAGGCAAACAAATTTAAATAAAAGAACTCGAGAAAAGAGCTGAGTACAGAGAAGTAATATCTGATGCAAATAAACATGCAAACATTAACATGCAGGGCACCATGCTTCAATCTGCATAATAGTGCCTGCAGGTTCTTTTATTGGGCTCACAGTTCTTACTAATGAATGTGTCTTACAAATGTCAGTTATCTGCTAAATGCAGGAAAGAAGACAGCTATTTTTATATACAGCCCTTTCACAGCTATCGTCTTACTAGGTTTTTTCTCACTGATCTGCTTGAAGAAAAAGGCAAATTTTACCTGACATTATCATGTTAAAATCCTGGCTATTACAAGGTGGGAAAGAGAGCTGGATACTACAAAAGCAAACCCAGATTAACATTAATCATGAATAAATCAACCCAGTGGCAACATGATTCACAAGTATGATACATACTATCAGAGGAAGGATAGGGAAGATACTGTGTTGCTTCTAAAGCAGGGATGCAATTGTTTTTTAAAATCTGAACTGACCAGAAGTCAGGATCCATCTTCCTCTGTACAGAGGTGGCCTGCTGACTCTGAAGATCATTCGCTTTACTTTGAACAATGACCCCAAATTAAAATAAAATCAAATCTCAAGAACGGTTCAGATACAGAAGATGCAAAAACAGTCAGGAGCCCAAATGCTGCCTAACTCTGTTCTAAAGCCCCTGCTGGCTTTCACCATCCATGTCAGCTAGTGGGTAGCTACATCTATTCTGGGCAGTGCATATATGAGCTAAAGAATGGCGATACTTACTGGGTGTTCTAATCCTGTAACCTCACAGCAGACAGGACAGCCCTCAAAGATACCAGGCTGGGTCCTACTAGAGCTAGATTTTATATCTGCAGAGCTTTCCACAGGGAGAATTAGACCTTTGGGATTATTTAACCACTCCTCTTTACAATGGAGCTTGTTCATCTCGCACTAACCCTTGTTGGGTAGCAAAACTAAGGGTGAACATTGCTCTATAAATGTACTTAGCCACAAAAATTGCTCTGTAAATCTACTCAGCCAGTTACTTACATTTTTTTCTTTCCATAAATTTACTTAGAGGATCCATAATATCTTCATCATTTTTATTTTTGTCAATTGCTTCTCCATCTTCCCTATCATCTTCATCAGTATTGAACCACATTTCTTCTTCATCTTCCAAGGTCCTTGCATCTCTCCTGTATCTATGGTTTCTCAAGATGGACCGCATGCTATGGAAAAGGATAACCCCATGCCAAAAGTAGTATTTAAGTTTACAAATATATTAGTGAAAGTAGGAGCTTTAAAAAGGAAGAATGTCCTAAAACTGTTAAATTTCTTATGCACAATTCAACACCATGAAAGATTTTTTCCCCTCTAAAAGAATGCAGGATCACTATAATCACTACACCAGTTGAGGTATTTCTGCATTAAAAATAAAGAGGCAGTTGTCAAACAAGAGAGAGGGAATATTTGGGCACCTGCGCATTCCTGACTCTGTTATGAAGTTGTTTTTTTTTTTTAAATTCTCTATTAAATGGTTCCCACCTCAGGCATCAATATAAGAAAACCCTATATTATAATTCCTGTTGGGCTATATAATTAACTTATTATTTATTTCTATTTTATAATCATTTTTTCTAATTATTATTTTTCTTATTTTTCTTCTTCTTCTTCTTCATCATCATCATCATCATGATCATGATCATGATCATCATCATCATCATCATTCTTCTTCTTCTTCTTCTTCTTCTTCTTCTTATTCTTATTCTTATTCTTATTCTTATTATTATTATTATTATTATTATTATTATTATTATATACTTTACTGAGTTATTATTCTTGGCTATTGTTCCTGTCCTTCTTTCTTTCCCCCTTTTTTTCCCTTGAAAACTCCTTTTCCTTTTTTTGGATGTATATCTGCTAGGTGGCACTAGCAATACCATGCACATTAAATTGTGCTGGGAACCATCTGTTAAAACAAGGGGGGAGGTTGGGGGTGGCTTATGGCCAAATGCCTACGACCTATGTTTAAATGGCCACCACACCTCTTTACAAGAGACCACACTGACCCCCAGCTACACACCCACTCTACCTGTGCCAAAGTGGTCCTATGTTAGGTACAGCAATGTTAATTCCACTAAACCAGACCCTCAAGCTTACCACTCCTTTCTTTCTTCCCTTTCAAAAAAAATTCACTTTCCTCCTCCTTCACTCTTCTATATGTCTTCTCTCTCTTTTTTTGTATTGTCTGGCCACTTGTATGCCCATGCTGCTGTGCAAGCTGCGCCCACTGCATGAGCACAACTCCCCCCTACTGCATTGTTACCAATCACTCACAGTACAACTAAACACTACTTAACCATACACAGTATTAATTAAAATTAATCAAACTTAAACTATCAAAATAAAGCCACTGGGGTGGTACAAGAAAACAGACAAACCACAGGAGGGAGCCGCTGCTACCCTCACTGCCTGAAGTCGTAGGTCCTGGTAGGCCTTGCCAATGGTGCAGCTTGCACAGAGTAAGGAGTAGGACTTTGTCCTTTATACAGTGGTGCCCCGCATAGCGATGATAATCAGTTCCAGATAAATCGTCGCTATCTGGATTCGTTGCTAGATGGGGCAAAAAACCCTATAGGAATGCATTAAACCCTGTTTAATGCGTTCCTATGGGGGAAAATTCACCGTTATGCGAAGATCCTCCATAGGGGTGGCCATTTTTGCCACCTCGGTAAGCGAGGCAACACAGCCGGTGGCCATTTTGGAACCGCCGATCAGCTGTGTGAAAATGGGGCCTTTGGGAGGACCCCCGCGGCCCTTCCCAAGCCCTAGCCGGCATTTTCCCCCAGCTGAGCGGCGGTGGCTTCGGAAGCTCGCTGGCGGGGGATGGGCAAGAATGAGAGGGAGGGAGCATGGCTATCTCCAGCCAGCAAGGGCTCAGAGGCAGGCAGCCAGGAAGGGGCATGCTTCTGGTGGCCAGCCAGCTCCGGATGCCTGGTCTCCTTGGCAGGGCTCTCCCAGGGTGCAGACGGGGCGAGGAGGGGGTCTCTGGTGGTCCCCCTCCAGCTGCTGCCACCCTATCCCGGTCCCAGGTGGGCATCTCCTCCTTTACAGTGCTCTGGCTTGGCGCCCGCCCCAGGGGTGCGGGCGGGGATCGGCACCAGGCCCTTCACCCCTCCTTCCCTTCCTCCTTCCCTCCCTCCTCCTGAGGTGCCAATCTGGAATGCCCCCGCTCCCCCCCAAAGGCCCGCCAGTCAGCTGTTCCAAAAACTGACGGCTCGTGGCTAAGCACTTCTCTGGGAGCAGCCCAAAGGCCCTCCCGTCAGCTGTTCCAAAAGGCAAGCCTCTGGGCTGCTCCCGGAGAAGCACTTCCCCACGAGCAGCCCAAAGGCTCGCTTTTTGGAACAGCTGATGGGCGGCCCTTTGGGCTGCTCCCGGAGAAGCGCTTTTCCAGGAGCAGCCCAAGGGCTCACTGTTTGGAACAGCTGACACCTACATAAATTCAACTAAAATCCTATTTAGTTCTCAAACATGGTACAGCAACAGAAAAGGGCAAGAAGGGCAGCATGTTTATCATAATTTCATAAACGGCAACTACGGGGAAATCCAAGTATTAGAACCATTTTAAAGGTTCTTCCTCTATTAAATAGATACCAGATTGAGGAAAGAAAAGCTACGAACTCTGCTCAAATAAATTACAGCAAACTTATTTACAGAATGGTAAACTTAGGGATGGCATGCCTCATATACCAATTTGATATAGGAGCATGATTTGACCCATAGTAAAACAATACCTTGGTAGTTATAGCTGCCATCTGAGATGTGCTTTTAGAAACCGACCCAGGAGATCCTGGTGACCCAGGAGATCCTGGTGACCCAGGAGATCCTGGTGACCCAGGAGATCCTGGTGACCCAGGAGATCCTGGTGACCCAGGAGATCCTGGTGACCCAGGAGATCCTGGTGACCCAGGAGATCCTGGTGACCCAGGAGATCCTGGTGACCCAGGAGATCCTGGTGACCCAGGAGATCCTGGTGACCCAGGAGATCCTGGTGACCCAGGAGATCCTGGTGACCCAGGAGACCCAGGCAAATTACTTGCAGATGATTGGCTGGTGAGGTTAGTCTTTGTACTACTAGAGAAGGAAAGTTTAAAACTTGGGCTCTGGCGACCAGAAATATTGGTTTTCAGAAGGACCTCCTTTTCTTCACTTTCTTTAACTGAAATTTAAAACAAATACCATTGTAATAACATTCTACTGTGAAATGCAACACATTTGGGACAAGAAAAGCAAACCCGAATCCTTTTTCAGCACTATGGGGGTGGAGGTAGGGGAGACAAAGGCAGGATACCAGTATAGTAAGTACAACTGAGTAGACTTTTGTTATTTCCTTGTTTACTACAGCAACTTTTATTACTGCTGTCTTTAAAAAAATTAGGGAGTCATTTACACTGCCTTTAGCTGTGCCAGACCAAATCTATGCCTGTTACTTGTGAAAAGGCCTTTTCAATTACAGTCAATTTGTTTGAGCCACCAAATTCCAGATCTGCTAAGTATTTTTTATGATGCTACAAGTTTCACACCACTGAAATTGCTACATTGCTTTCTTGGTTTTCAGTATTATATTAATACTGTACTTTGCAAGCCACTCAGAGAACACTTTTTGGGAGGCAAACAAATTTAAATAAAAGAACTCGAGAAAAGAGCGGAGTACAGAGAAGTAATATCTGATGCAAATAAACATGCAAACATTAACATGCAGGGCACCATGCTTCAATCTGCATAATAGTGCCTGCAGGTTCTTTTATTGGGCTCACAGTTCTTACTAATGAATGTGTCTTACAAATGTCAGTTATCTGCTAAATGCAGGAAAGAAGACAGCTATTTTTATATACAGCCCTTTCACAGCTATCGTCTTACTAGGTTTTTTCTCACTGATCTGCTTGAAGAAAAAGGCAAATTTTACCTGACATTATCATGTTAAAATCCTGGCTATTACAAGGTGGGAAAGAGAGCAGGATACTACAAAAGCAAACCCAGATTAACATTAATCATGAATAAATCAACCCAGTGGCAACATGATTCACAAGTATGATACATACTATCAGAGGAAGGATAGGGAAGATACTGTGTTGCTTCTAAAGCAGGGATGCAATTGTTTTTTAAAATCTGAACTGACCAGAAGTCAGGATCCATCTTCCTCTGTACAGAGGTGGCCTGCTGACTCTGAAGATCATTCGCTTTACTTTGAACAATGACCCCAAATTAAAATAAAATAAAATCTCAAGAACGGTTCAGATACAGAAGATGCAAAAACAGTCAGGAGCCCAAATGCTGCCTAACTCTGTTCTAAAGCCCCTGCTGGCTTTCACCATCCATGTCAGCTAGTGGGTAGCTACATCTATTCTGGGCAGTGCATATATGAGCTAAAGAATGGCGATACTTACTGGGTGTTCTAATCCTGTAACCTCACAGCAGACAGGACAGCCCTCAAAGATACCAGGCTGGGTCCTACTAGAGCTAGATTTTATATCTGCAGAGCTTTCCACAGGGAGAATTAGACCTTTGGGATTATTTAACCACTCCTCTTTACAATGGAGCTTGTTCATCTCGCACTAACCCTTGTTGGGTAGCAAAACTAAGGGTGAACATTGCTCTATAAATGTACTTAGCCACAAAAATTGCTCTGTAAATCTACTCAGCCAGTTACTTACATTTTTTTCTTTCCATAAATTTACTTAGAGGATCCATAATATCTTCATCATTTTTATTTTTGTCAATTGCTTCTCCATCTTCCCTATCATCTTCATCAGTATTGAACCACATTTCTTCTTCATCTTCCAAGGTCCTTGCATCTCTCCTGTATCTATGGTTTCTCAAGATGGACCGCATGCTATGGAAAAGGATAACCCCATGCCAAAAGTAGTATTTAGGTTTACAAATATATTAGTGAAAGTAGGAGCTTTAAAAAGGAAGAATGTCCTAAAACTGTTAAATTTCTTATGCACAATTCAACACCATGAAAGATTTTTTCCCCTCTAAAAGAATGCAGGATCACTATAATCACTACACCAGTTGAGGTATTTCTGCATTAAAAATAAAGAGGCAGTTGTCAAACAAGAGAGAGGGAATATTTGGGCACCTGCGCATTCCTGACTCTGTTATGAAGTTGTTTTTTTTTTTTAAAAAAATCTTTTGTTCATATCAATCATTATGACTTTCCAGTACAGGCGATTAGTGCAAAAATAATATACTTTCAGCCATCTGGTCCACGCTGTACATATAATCTATACGTGTACAATGTGTGCAGATTGCCTGGGAGATGTTCTTTCACATAGTCAAGATACCAGTGGCAATAGGACACCGGGACTACTGGTCAGTATACAGTGGTGCCTCGTATAACGAGTGCCCCGTTTAACGACGAATTCGCATAGCGATGGGAAAAATGCCATCGCTTTTGCGATCGTATAACAAGGGTGCCTATGGGGAAAAATCGCTTTGCGATGTTTTCCCCATAGGCACCATTTCCCCCCAGCTGATCGGCGGGAGCCTCCAAAGGAGCGCTCCTGACACTCAGCTGGGGGAAAATGCCTGCGGTGGCCTTCGAAGGACCCTTCCGTGGGGGGAAGGTGGGGAGACCCGGTGCCTGTCAGGCATCCTGGGCTCGGCAGCGCAGGGCCGCAGGGACATGGTGGAGGGGTCCTGAAGGTTTCCAGGCTTTTGCCTGGAAGCCTTCGGGATCCCCCTCCACCCTGTCCCCTTCGCTGGCAGCCACCCTCACTGCTTTCCCCAGCCTGGATCGGGCTCCTGGGAGTCCGATCTCGGCTAGGAAAGGCAGCGCGGGGCGG